AGAATGTGATTAAAGTTGTACATAACAACTCTTCCAGATTAATATAAAAGCAAATGTGAGGCTTAATATTCCCAAATTATAATTTTTTTTTTTTAGAAACACATGGGGCAGGTACAACATGTGCAATCTTGAGTTCAGTGGCACTACCCATTAGCTCTGTGGTCTAGAATGACATGTCTACTGCCTTCATGAGTTCACATGCTCAACATACAAGTACATGTAGAAGAATGCATCATACAAGCTGTAAAGCACTCTTTAAGGACACAACATCTGAATTGATTGGGCTGATACTCACCATAGATCTACTTGAAAACAAAACAAGAAAATCAAAGATATGAATGCATATAGATTAGGTTAAGCTAAGTAATGCTATAATGATCAGATGGATCTTAGTCTAGTCTCCCGCCTGGGGAAAACTTAAAAGGAAGATTCTGAGGAAGATTCTCACTCTATAAGTTTTTCTTGGTTATATTGCCACATAGATCACTACAGATATTTCTTTGCAACTTCCAACCGTATACAATACAGATGTTTGCTCTAGTTACCTTCTCCATTCTGACCAAAGAAAGAGGCAAGGTTTGTCAAAAATGAAACAGTAAGGGTTTACATCAGTAAATCTTAACCCCATTCATGAACTCAACTAACAGCTTATTGGTACTTTATACCCTGCCCCCTCCTCTCTCCCATGTTTAATGCAATTGTACACAGAAACCAAGTGGGATTGTTTTATCAATGCTACCCTTGTAAAAAAAAACACCATCAACCCCAGGCCTGTGATGATGACTACAGGGTTATGAACCACTGGTCTATGTGACACATGCAAAGAGCGAGTGAAGGGGACATTGAGACAGTGTCAGATTAAAATACAATACCGGTAGGCCATTTTCGTGATGTACTCAAATAATTGAATGCACAAATCTTTGTTAAGTGCCTTGTTACAAATTATTTCATACACCTGTTACAAATAATTGTATTTCAATAGTCAGAATGCAAATTGCATACATTATGTGTTGTTAGGTAGGACAAGCCATAATGTTTGTCCTACCTAGCAACAATCAATGTACGCAATCTGCATTCTGACTGTGAAAATATTACTATTCATAATAGGTGAATGAAATAATAAATGAACACAAAGATGTAGGCATCAAATTTGAATGTATTAGTACATTTCAGAGCCATGGGCACCGAAGCTTGCCAAAAGCACTATCTTACCCCAAAAGCTGTCTATACATGTATTACAATAAATGAATGTCTACTTTCCTGACTACAATGGAATTAAAGATGTGTATTACATAAAGCAAACCAATCTTTGTGAAAATATAGAGAAGCAACATCACCTCAGGGTTAAACAATGCCAATTAAGTACAAACATTCTAAATGTAAAACAAATCAAGCTTTTTTTCAACAGAGCATGTATAATCTGTTCCTTTCCAAATAAATGTATACATCAATAAAAAACAGATGTCTACACTTACATGTAGGTAACCTATTATTATGCCCAAAAAAAGTTAGAAAAAGAACCAAAGGAAAAAGGACAAAATGAAATGAAATATGGCCAAGACATATTATCTGGACTATCATATATTAGGTACTTCATAGATTAGATACTATTCATCAAGACCGAAAATAAAGAATATAAGAAAAAAGTAAATCCTTCTCCAATAATTAAAATGTTCCACATATTACACAAGAAGGAATGTAATAGTAGTTGGCATCTAGTCTGCCGGCACAGACCCTAATTTGACACTTAATCAAAAAATCATTGTGCCTTGAGAGAAGTCTAGCCCAGCTACCTACTGGTTGTGTCAGGAGCAGCTACAGTACATGGCCTATGGTAGTCTTATAGTGCAGACTCACTTTTACGACTGACCAGGGTCTGTGCTTGCAGACTAGTTGGCATCCAGGATAAATATTGAACCACCCATACAAATAACAAACAAAAACAAAGAAAAAACATCAAGAATCATAAATATCAAGTTGTCCTACAGCCATCACCATTATATCATTTTGAAATAAAATAATCTAACAGTGAATGTTTACAATATATACTGGAATATGTTGTTGGGCAATACATATACACACACCGGTAGACCCTTTAATTTGTTATTACCATTACAAATGTTTCCTAAGGTGTAAATTATTCATTATTAAGATGAACAAAAATTTATTTTACATTCTTTGATTACAAAAAAAATCACTAACTATGGACACTTCTGTTACACAAAACGTTCCATGCCCATCAGAAACAGACTCTTTATCTCTCTTTTCAATCTAAATCCTAATTATAAAAAAAAAGGAATATCAAAATATCATATCTAGATTTCAATACAAATTCACATAACATTTACAATAGAACGACTACACAATACATGTATATTATATATTAGAATCCTGTTTTTAGTCTTCACTGCTACAGTATGCTGTCATTACAGCAACATAAAACACTTTAAAAAACATTTGACTCAACATTAGACCCCTCCCAGCATAAAGACAGAGTAAATGTGCATAATAGCTGCACAAATTGCATCACTTGGAGATACATGTACGTGTAATACCTGAAATGGATTAATAATGAGTGGACATCTCTTTCTTCCCATCACCCTAATAATCTCCACGTGCCCTCACTCCCAAGCACATCTGGAAGACGTCACATTTATCCTTGGAAAACAGTGGATAATGCGAGATGGCCCCTGCTTCACAGGAGAGTCCTTTTTGTTGATAGTAAACATAGAAGGCAGGACTGAGGTCAGATACTTGCAAGCATCTGTCGAGCCGCCAAAAATGACACCAGGGACCCGTTTCACAAAGCCTGTTTTTCAATGGCAAATGACTAAAATCAGTGACAAATCTGCTGATAACCAATCAGAAGCAAGGATTTCAGTAGCTTATAACAAAGTGTCATTTGTCACTGATGACAAGTTTTGTGAAACGCCCCCAGATGCATCAAGAAGAGAATCATTGCATTCTACATGTATACCCGTTGAGGCTCCCCATTGACCCATTCTGTAATTTCATCCAGCATTTAGACCCCCCTGCTCTTATACTGTATTTCTTCAGAGGGGAAACACAACCGTTAAACTGGCTTTTTATCACAAATCTACAAATGTAGATGGTTTTTCTCAAGATTTAGTTACATAAAGCCTGAAAGCTGGACTGCACTACTTGTACATGTAGCTACTTGCTCCATCTATATAGCCAACAAAGCCTAAGCGGTACCCGTTGATCCCCCATGGTTCCCTTTTACTTATATTAATTGAGAGCTGATTTAAAGAGATAACCACCTGCCAGTGACCACGAAGGGAGGTCTAATCCTCCCTGGCCAAACTAGTGCAAATAGACTTTAACCAGCAATGCAACAACTCTTTGGACAACGGATAAAGACAAAAATAAGTAAACATACCCACATTTCAAACTTCAGTATGGAATTGACTAACTGCTGTTATGTCTGTCAGACTCAATGTTTTGCCCACCGAACAGTCCTTATGCATCCCAATCAATTAGCATGAGCTGCTTAGGTTCATGTACCTCCTTCAGTTAATAATATTTTTTCCATCCAAGATCAAGTAAAAGTAAAGGCTTGTTCAGATAAGAGTTGGCAAAACCACAGTGGTTTTTTATTTTATTTTATTTATTCTATCAAGTGTCATATTTCTGTATCTCATAACACAAAACGTTTGTTGTGCGCAGGTGCCATTCATTTACAAGTAAAATATAAACGCAAACGCAGTGGATTTTTTTTAATGCGGTTTTGAACGTCATATCTGAAGGATTAGCAGGGAATTTCACACAAAAAATATCAAACAAATCAACACCACATACAAGGGGACTTAGAGATCGGTGTGCAAAACATATGGTTGCACGGCGTTCATAATCATGAATGAAATCTTTTTCTTTAATAACAAAATCAAAAAGCACATGAAAAACTTTGAAAAAATGTACACACCGTTTACAAGAAAGGTATTCACTGATAGACTCAAATTTGTATAAATGTAAGAACCATAATACCCTCTTGCAGAAGATCTGCAATCATAGTTTTCTTGCTACAATAGTTTAGTTTTGTTTTGTTTTGTTTTAACGCCTGTCGGCATTTAAAGCCCTACTGTCCTACTTGGAGCTACTTGCTCCCTCTATATAGAAAACTACCCCAATCGGTGCCTGTTGGTCCCCCATGATCCCCTTTTTCTTATGTTAGTTGAGAGCTGAGTTAATGAGATAGCCACCTGTCAGTGACCTCGCTGTGTGGTCTAATCCCTTCTGGCCCAGAAGTGTTGTCAGTCTTTAAAAGGAAGTGGGGTTGCATCAATTCTTAGCCTTTGCATTTGTTTTGCTGTAGTTCCATCTGCTTTGTGTGATCACTATGTATTCTAGGCAGTCTTCGTCACTGGCAGGCGCCAGGACAACCGGGCATCAAAAATCTAAGTCTGGACACCCAAGGCCACGATTTTGAAAGTTTCACATAGGGCTTGTCTATGCAGTGTGGAACCCTGGGCCCCGTTTCACAAAACTTGTCATCAGTGACAAATGACAGTTTTTGTTATAAGCTACTGAAATCCTTGCTTCTGATTGGTTATCAGCAGATTTGTCTCTGATTTTTGTTATTTGTCATTGATAAAGGCTTTGTGAAACGGGTCCCTGGTATAGGTTGAGAAGCCTTGCTGTAACGGTTTGTCCATTACTACAAATTCAGGGTATATTACAGTTTGCCCAAGAAGCTACTAATTATTAAAATGAAAGTGGAATACTCACATGCCATACAAATATTTCTGATGTCAACACCTCATTCACACATACCATGGCAAACTGCCTCAAATTTTTGTTTATATAAATAAATAAAAGTAAGAGCCACACGGCATGCATGGTCTTGCCTACTCACACAATATATATATACCGGTATGTCTTCTGGTGAGTACAAACTACTGATGGTTCATGCTAAGTTTGGTAGCCATCAGCAAAACAGAAATGGCCACTGTATGTGTACATTTGCACTGATAATTTTGTGTGTGTGTGTGTGTGTGCATTACCCGGTATATAGATGGACCATGGCATGTGTGAACTAGATATAATCCCTATATGGGTGAGTAGTACGAGGGATTTGACTTCAAAATAAAGCATGTTTCTTTCTAAATATGAAAATCTCACTACCCTTTAAAGTTGGACCTTCGGAGAGACAATATGTAATTACACCTAGACAGATTTGATGAAAAGCGGAAGTTACCTATCTTCATTTGATTATCAATTACAACTTGACTTTCTAGAGATAATCTTATTATTTCTTCAGAGCATTAGACAACCAGTCGAGGCCTTCGTAGAGTCCGTCACCTGTGGTGGCACACGTACTGTGGATGTACCATTTTCGTTGATTCAAGCCTGACAGTTGTAGTGCTTCTTTTGCTTCATTTGCTTTCATGGCGTTGGGAAGATCCTGTCAATAGAACACATAATACCATAGTCACAATAAGTCAAGGTGTAAAACACATACACCAATTGAAAATACATTGGTGCATCTATGTCTTCACTCTTCTTCTTGAACTAGTATTACCAGGGGTGAAGAAAGTGAGCACTAAAAAAAAAAAAAAAAAAATTCTTTTTCCTCAATCACCCTCCCCCTTGAGTAACAAAAAAAGATTCTGGAAAAAAAATGGCATCTAACAACAACATTCTCCGCTTTTGACTAAAAAAATTGGAGAAAACAGGGAAAGAAAGGAAAAAATAGGGAATATAAGGGAAAAATCAGGAAAATAAAGGTAAAATCGGTATTAAATTTTTTTTTTTAAATCAGGGAAAAAAAATTGGGGAAAAATCTGGTAATTATCAGGCCTGTATTACACTGAAACAATGGTATACATTCATTCTAGCACTGTGTATAACTAACAGGGTTCAGTACATGTCGATTTATTTCATTTCCGACGAAAAAAGAAGAAAACAAATCTCCAGTCCGCACAGACTTGGTCTAGATGTCTCAAGCATCAAATTGACTGCAATAGAATGAAAATCAAGTAACATTCAAATCATAAAACTTTCTCTAAATTATGGCCAACCTCACAGAGCTTCACCAAATTTTTTTTTAAATATATATGGCCCATCATATCAATAGTCTATGAAAAACTGTCGACAGATATGATGAAATGTAACATGTTTGTGACCTACCTTTTAAGACAAACCCTACAGTTGTAGGTTAACATATTTTCTTCCCTAGTGTTTTCATATTCCATTGTTGATCATAACACCTTGTAATATTGTTCATGATGATCTATGAGTGACATCTAATCTAACAATTTATGAACATGTTTTTAATTGTTTTCACTTCAATTTCAAACTTCTCTATAACTTCTAGAAGATTCTTTAACAATGTAATCACATGGCACGAACTCAAAATCATCCTTAATATTACCTGTTTGTTTGCTAATACTAGAAGGACTGCATCCCTGAGTTCGTCCTCGCTAAGCATGCGATTCAGCTCCTCCTTTGCCTCTGCGAGACGTTCCCTATCATTGCTGTCTACCACAAAAATGATACCTACATAAACAAAAAGAAGCAATAGAGAGTTAGAGACCCAGAACGACTTTAGGCACATGCTCATAAAAGAATTGCATTTTTTAATACAATACCTCCACATTACCTTTCTTTTCCTAGTGATGCTACAGCATGTCTGACATAGCAACTCCTATGTAGTATGTTGTTATTGTATGGTCTATTGTAAAGAGGTGGCCAGCTCTGGTGCAGCTACATACCACTGTCTCTTATTAGCTCACTAATGATTGACAGATGATGTCACAAGATGAATGAGATCTGGAGCATTTTTTTAGGGTGGAGCTTAGCTGGTCTGAGAAAACCATTTTAAGATATATTTAAAATTCTTTGTAATATATTTAGATGTTTTTATAACAAATATAACTTGTATGCAGCCCTGCACATCAACAGGAATCAACTTATGTTTGGATTTCACCCCACCTTTAAACCAATCCATGAACAAGGGGGGGGGGGGGGGGGCTTTAAATAAGAAACCATTCAGAATAATTCTTCCAAAAAAGGCATATATACATTTAGATCAATACAACAAAATTAGATGATATCAGCTGTTCAATATAACTGTAATTTACCTTGTGTGTTCTGGAAGTAATGCCTCCACAGTGGCCTGATTTTGTCTTGACCACCTACATCCCACACTGTGAAGCTTATGTTCTTGTATTCCACTGTCTCTACGTTGAAACCTGCAAAAATATCAAAGAATTAAATAACATCAAAATATGTCTGGTAGTACAGTATATCATGATGTCTTATTATCAAATAGTATATAGAGTTGTGATAATGAGTATGCTCTTCAGTCTTCACTATATACTGGTAAGTTACAAAACTAATTCTGGATTGTATCATCATGCGATAGATCATAGATGGGTTGTTCAGACCAGCAGACCTTAAGAAGAGACCAACATACATGTAGTTCCTGAATCTCTGTCCTGCTAATTGATTTCCCTTTAATTAAAACATGTACCGGTATGCTCGCCTCCTCATGGAATTCAAAATGTTCTATTTCTTTCCAGATTCATCAACCTACATGAAAAGAACCTTATCCTTAAATTGTAAAAGAGGAAAACAATTATGAAATCTGTGAAATATTCACAACATACATGTAATGAATCATCCTCAGCACAATCCTTAACCCTTACTGTACTGGGCTATTTTTAGCACCACGTGACTGGGGGAGGGGGGGCCTGAGAGACCCCTCCCTCCTATGATCTCGGCCGTCGAAAGTCTGATGAACGCGAAAATTTACATGTTTGTAGATATTTACGTAAGGGACAAGATGGTATAATTAGTGTTTTCCTAATATGCAAATTTTTGTCGTTATAGCCTAATTAATTATGCAAAATGCTAATTTTATGCCTTTTTACAGAAAACTCTACATATTTGTCTGTAGACTTGTGAAGAATGTTGAAAATGTAATGAATAAATGTTTCCTTCATCTCAAATTTATGAGGTTACATTATTTTTTTTATTTGAAAATGTATATGTTAATTGCATAAATTTGCATAAAATGTAGCATATTTTTGATGACATGCGCATACTAATTGTTATGTAACACCTTACAGGTATTTCCGATTTTGACGAAAATGGTATCAAAATGTGCGTAAGACTTGAGGGAAAAAAAGTCATGAAACGACAATTCAAAATTCCAAGTGGTTGCGGTGCAATCTCCCAAAATGTCGAGGGGGGGGGGGGGCCTGGGAGGCCCCCCCCCCCCCCCCAGTACAGTAAGGGTTAACCACCAAATCAACACTAAATGTAAAATGATTATGTTTCACGTGTACCTACATGTACTCCAGTCTGGTGTGTGCAAACCTATAAAGACCCATTCTCTAACCAAAACCCTGTCAACCTGTACTACCACTGTACATGTATCTTGGTATGCACTTAGTATAGCAGACACCTTCATTCTATTTCTGTGGAATTATTGTCACATCCTAAATAGATATATCCCAAGAAGATCTCTTGTACACATTCGTAAGATTTATTGTACATCAAAAGGCAGGAATTCATCTTGTTTTTCAGAATACCTACACTTATTCTTTGGGGTTAGCTCTCCTTCAACTAATTCTTGTATTCATCCATACCTATTGTTGGGATGGTTGTGACAATTTCACCAAGCTTGAGTTTGTAGAGGATAGTCGTCTTTCCAGCAGCATCCAATCCAACCATCAATATTCTCATCTCTTTCTTGCCAAATAAACCGGAAAATAGTTTGCTGATTGAACCACCCATGGTGAAGCTTAAATCTAGTCCTTAGGCTTCAAATAGATCAAGATTACTGATTCGGTCGTTTCTCAGATGTTCTCAGTTGTGAGTGCCAACAGATTTACGTTCGTTTCCCACTTTTGTTTTACATGTACCTGTGAGGGTGAGATATAAATATTTTAATAGATAGTAAATTGGTATTGTGGTATATAAAGCAGGTATTAAAAGAGAATCAAGATTCAAGATTCAACTACTCTAAAAGAAAGCAGGAAAATCAGAGAAGCAGACTGGTGAAAGTTGGAATGAAATCCCACAAAAAATAGGAAATTATGAATATTTGAAATTTGTAATCACTATACATGTACCTACAGTGTATGGCATTTCAAATTGATTGAATCGGTATTGTCACTGTGACGTAGTGCTCGACAACTTTCCCAAGAGGAGAAGGCACTTAGGAGAAAAAGAGAATGTAATGATACTTTTCTATACGACAAATGGGAGAGTTGTCCACTATGCCAAGACAAAATTGCCAATTTGAAATTTGCATCTAGATTCATTTAGTGATCTCAAATTTCAAACATTCATAACTCTCTTAACTTTAACTTAAGTCTGATGTATTTCAAACTTGCGCCATTCTTTTCCTCTTATTTTTCTGCTTACCGGTTCATGTTTAAGGAGTTATTATGTTTCTCAGAGATGGACCTTGGAATATACAGCTTTTTACTATGACCTCTGGTTGACACCTGGCCTATAAAGTCTGGCACCACTTCTTGGTCATACCAATGAAACAATTTGTAGGTTTCTATCATATTTCCTAGAGCACGACTCATATCGCGCACAACGTTATGTGTCTAGAGTCTTTAATAGGTGAGCTAACTTTTGCTCCTATGGACGAATCGCAATCTCAGTGACCAATGTTGTGGCCCTTCTTTCTACATGTACATTTTCTAATGGTTGAAATATTTTTCAAGTCAGGACTCCATACAGAATGTGCATATTCCTTGTTCTGTCTAATCAGAGCAATATGTACATGTATATAGGATTAGTCTCCTTACATGTATCTTCATGTACATGTATATAGGATTAGTCTCCTTACATGTATCTTCATGTACATGTATAGTCTCAGAAATGCCAAGTACAAAGATCAGCCATGCATGACATTTTCATGACTCGGCGCGCAAGTGCGCGGGGATAGCGTTTTTTCGAAATCGCGCGAGAACGTTTCAGACCCTCGAAAATGTGTGACACTTGGTAGCTCTGTAGTCTCCTTAAGTATATATACAGGTACAGGACTACAGGTACATGTAATAATGTTCAGCTTGTTAATTTACTGGCTTTATTGATCTTAGACTGAAAATGCTTCTCAAAACTAAGCTTGGAATCATCAATTACTCTTAAATCTTTACCTGGGTCAACATGTGGCAGATGATGAGTGCCATTTCCACAGTTCATAATGCAGCAATGTACAGTGTACTTATGTGGCTTGTCATGATGATTACCAATGGAAACTAAACAGCATTTATCAGGATAGAACTTCATCAGCCACTTTTATGACCATGATACAAGGCAAATGTTGCATATCATTATGCAGTAAAACTGCACCATTCCTACTTTTAATATATGCTTCAATATCTTGAAGGTAACTCTGCCATCAATGGTGTAACTACCATGGAAACCTACCATGGTAGTTGCCATTGATGGGAAAGTTACCATCAATGGTAATGCAATGGGGGCCCAGGAAGATCATTAATACACTTAACATAAAGCAGAGGTCAGAGGTCAGAGGGCACTCCCTTGTGGTTACATCATGTTTCCTACCCTTCACAAATAATTTTATCCACTAACATTTTAGGAGTTGGATATTCCAAAACACTCAACTTTTGGCTAAAAGTCATTGGTGATTTGGTGCGGTACCTGTACCTTACATTATCAAAGGCCTTCAAGCTTCATGAAATCTTTGAAGCAACTGAGCCACCACATTCCCACATGCTTACTAGTCCATTCATCTTTGATATTAAGTACATGTACTGTAGGTCTAATAATAAAATTATAGAACAGCCCAATAGAAGACCAAACTGTCTTGTATTATCAAAGAAGGATGTTGTGCCACATGTAATACCTAATGTATCCTTTTTTAGGGGGTGATTTTACTCACACAAAGTTGCTAAATATTGATATATTCAAGTCATCACAACACATCAGTTTTCCATGAAAAAATGGCTTCTATTATTAAAGAGAATTATGAAAACTTGATACTTTTCCGTCTTTCTCAGAGGGTGTCGGATGGCCGGCATTGGCTGCCATACCACACAGCACTTGCTACGACAAATCATATTTACAGGTGAACGCCAAGATATGGCGCTGCTCAAAGTATTTTTTTTTTTGCCGACTCCGTAGGACCGTAGGCAGCAAGCCTGGTCAATGTTCCAAAACCCACACCGGGAAGAACCTTTATTTTACTACCAGGGGCACCGATTTGTGCTTGTGAACTTGTCACAAATAAGGCATTAAAAAATGGGATATAAATGCATAAAATCATTCAATTACATGTATTCCCAAAGTCCCATTCGTCTTCTGCCCTAATTCCAAAATCCTGCTTACATAAACAAGTACATGTAGACCCCAAGCCTTGTGTACGTGTACAGTATAATTATGGATGGATGATGTCACGGTATAGCACATTTTTCTTATCGGTAACATCATAGCAATGTTATGTTTGGTCACATGATGCTAAGTGTACATTGATTATATTGATAACCAATCAGTAAACAGGATTTCATTAATCAAAAATATAGTATTTTATACTCTTTGCGGATTTCAAAAGTAATTATCCTCTGAAATCCTCAAACTCAAAGTGACAGAAAAGTGATCTTTCATAAAAAAACACCAATCATTTCCTTAAAGAAAAGAGCATGAAATCTGGCATTTTTCCAGCACTACTTTTGCCATAGGCATGTAGTTAACATGTACTGTAGGTAGCATGGCATGCAGTGCATCATGCCTTGGGCTTCTGAGATATGGTACATTGTACGACTTGACTCTTTATGACAACAAATTCTCCTTTAATTTACAAGGACAGATAGCAAATTTCGTGATCTTTATAATGTTATGAAATTTTCACATATTGAATTTGCTCTAATGCAAAATTGCAAAAAAATGTCTTGTAAAACAGAAAAAAGTTGCTTTCCCATTGTCATTTACAATGAATGGGGAAGTGGCAAAACTAAATGCATAACATTTTTATGAGGGTTTGCCATTTTACTTTTAGTTTTGGTCTGCATAAAAACCTCCCCCAGCTGAAAGTCGAATGGATGACCATAATCCAGAAATGTCTCTTATTCTTAATCTTAACTCTCCCTCCCTAAGATATATCCCAAATAGGGTCTAGAACTAGAAAGAGTATGAGAATATTAGCAGAGATGCCAAGTTCAAAGATCAGCTAAGCGTGACATTTTCCTGACTAGGCGCGCGAGTGAGGGTATAGCGTGTACGGTATAGTGTACGTTTCGAAATTGCGCGCCTGTGTGAAGTTATCTACCGTAATGTCTCAGTCTAAGTCTCTAAGTAGGGAGGCCAATGCCCAAATCTAACTTTTTAATTACTAATTTGTTTATACTAAAACTAAGATTAAAAGAAAGCATTTACTTTCACTAAGAAAATCCACCCATCTGCCGACTCCATAGGTTCCATCAAATAGGAGATATCCAGCTGGTTTGTAGCCATTTCCTTCTACGCCTTTCCGTACGTAAGAGCCTTGAAACAATTATATTTCATGTCGCAAAGTTACGTTCATAATTAGACAGGCCCGAGGGACAAAGTTCATGATGAAGTTTAAAACTTCGCGCGAAAGTGCAATCACTCAACAGCGGCTAGCCTTGAATCGGTCGCACACGTACACACCTTCTTCTTCTTAGTTGATCCCTCCACCGACACAGGCAAGCCCCGATGCAGGCTGAAGTCCAGCCATCAATGTGCGAACGATTACATCTTCTACTACTACGAGCCGAAGACGATGGTTCAAAAAAGGAAAGAAATATATATAATTCATTGATATTTACCTTAGATGTGTATTCCAATAATTTGATTTCCTCATGAGTATTCCTTATTATCAACGATCGAGAAGTTACGAGGTCCAATTAAAATCCATCTTGCAGCGAACACAATCATAGCGCACATCCATGCATGCAACGTACGTGTACTAATATTTCTCTCACTCTAACTCTCTCTCTCCCTTTCGCTATACGTAACATACACACTCACTAACCATGTATCATACAACACACACATTCAAATCATGGCTTTCATTTCAATTCTCAATTGGAGTATAGACTGCTCACGTAGACTTTTTTTTTTACTGAAATATCTTTTTTAACACTTCTCATACATTACTTCACGACACTCGTATCTAGTGCTGTGAGAATAAGGTACTAGGGTCTATAAATAAGACTACGCTTTGGGCACGCTCTGACCGGAGCTCAGATTATGTCGCAATACCCTTTATTTTTGGCGCGAACAATGACGTCACTGTTCACTGTTTTCCTTCTCATTTTGAGATGGATGTAGCTATAGGGCTCAAACCAACGCAAGATTGACAGAAACATCGTACTCTATCTACTTTCGAATGTTCAGTTTGTAAAAATCTGTATTTAAAAAGATATAATCTTTTTTCTTTATATTTTCTAGTTGTTAGAAGTGGCAATTGTGAACATCTGAAATGTTGATCTCTATCAAAAGTTCTTTACTCAAAACGGATCCCATATTTTTAGGGTCTACCTTCTGCCAATGAGAAGGTTTTTAGTGAGCAAACCTCTACGCCCTCTAGGATTTTCTTAGTCGGTGGTGCGAGTGCGTCAAGGTCGTCTGCAACCACAATTATTGGATTAAAAAACGTCAAAATCTGCAAGATTGTCAACAAATGGTGAAAGACTGTTACAGATCCGTGATTATAGGTATGTTGTGAAATGTATAATTGTATTTTCTTTTCATATTTTCTTCAATTTTTATTTTTACATCATTTTTTTCCCTTTGCTAATTTTTTGAAGTGGGCGACGAGCGCACAAATCGTAGGTGTAGAAGCCTTACGCCCGGGCATTGGCCTCCCTACTCTAAGATCCTTATTAGACATTACGGTAGATAACTTCACACAAGCGCGCGCTCGCCTGCAACCCACCATCTGTATGCATTTGTATTGTGCAGCGGTTTGCCGTGAAACCTGTGAAAAAGTGTAGACCTATACCAATAATATCAAGTTTCCCGAAAAATAACAAGAAAATTGACATGAGACAGGTGATTAACATAACAACTTTTAGCTCATGATCTTTATTTAAACATTTGATGAATATTCACTTCATTTTGGGTATGTTTTTATAGTGGGGTATCTCCACGCCGAGTTACTGGTCAAATTTTGGATAGGTTTCTGAACAAGCGCCGCAAAATGATTAGACTTAGTCTAGAGTCTATGAAGGAAAAACTGTGCACGAGCTACGTAGTACGACTCTACAGTACGGGTTCGTAATGACGTGAGAGTTTAAAATACGGCTGCAAGATTTTCAACATGGTCATGGATGCCCAAGGAGTCGCGCAACCTAGTAAGTCAAAATTGCAATTACCCCCTTTGCATATTTTGAGATAATGTCGCCCAACCCGCTGTTTGAATCGTTTTCCTATGCAGCTCTGAGGCTCCCACGCCTTCGGCGTCGGCGTCGAAGCTTCCTGAATTAAGTTAGCCTGGCCTACAGTCTACAGTAGTACAGATTAGGCCATACCATACCGTCACCGTTTTCTCGATTCTCGAAGGCCATCGATGGCCTTACATATTTACCCCGGCTTAACAAAGCTAGCAAACATTTATGAAGAAATTGATATCAGAGTAAAAGTAACTAACTTGTTATTTATTTGCCAGGAGAATTTTCCGTCCTGTTCCTGTTTAAAATGGAGCTTGAACTTGAAGTCTGAGTCTGACTGTTCGCCCCCGGCTTTTCTAGATCCTGAATATGACTCAGTAGTATAATTCGGCCCGTAAACACGGCCGCCGCGCGTCCCGTCGATCTAGCTGTACATTTGGCTTCACTGTTGCATGCATTCAATATTTTTCGCTGCTTCCAACAAGTATACCAACTCACTGATCTCTCTACTATTAAAGCTAGCTATGAAGGCGCTAACTACCCGGAACATGTACTTTTTAACATTTTTTTTTTCCGTAGGGGGGAGGGGTAGATGGGTCAGATCCATAGAGATATATACTTTATATCTCTATGGTCAGATCATATCCATGAACTAATTCAAGGGGTTTAGAAATCGAAACTAAAGGAACCCTCCTGCAAGAAAATGAAAGAGCATATCACGTGTAAAGTGTTTTGCATTACAAGGACGTACACGTTTATTTTACCTTTTTTCTGGAGATGATGGGCCCCCTCCCCTGGTGCTCAAGAGGGGGCGCGGGGGGGGGGGGGGGGGGTGTGCGATTTTTCAACAAAAAAATGTTTAGGTTTAATTTCCACATTAACTGCATATGAAAAGAATTTACAAAGTAAGCCATATAAAAGGTAACAAAATATGTACAAATATAATCGATATAGATACTACAGTAAAAAAAAAAATTATGCCCATGGCTGACCTAAAAAAGGTGGCCTTACCCCCCCCCCCCCCCAACGAAGAAAAATGTCAAATTTTCAAAATTCGAGACAAAAAAAAAGTGTCCTCTTACCCTTCAAAAGCCTCCAAATGGGAAACTTTAAAAAATGGCTGTCAGTATGTAAAAGACGATTCAAACCATGTGCTTTTCGACTGGCATATCAAAAAGATGACGCTATATGAACTAATGATGTGTATGCCTACATTGTAGCTAATTTTTGCCTGTATATTGTATTTTAAGTTTTAGAACAATCTAAAGATGCATCGTTGTCAAGAGTAACGTTTTTTTTTTTTTTTTTTTTTGCAATTTCTTCATTTTCTTGTCATTTCAAAGGATACGTGTATACTTTTTACACTATTCAGATAAAACTGTACTGGCCGCCACCAACCTACGACACAAAATGTCGCAACCAAAGCCGCAGTGTTTTAATTTCGCTGGTGCCCTCAAAAGTTTTACAAAGAATTAACGGATTCCCCCCTTTCGCCTCCAAAAAGACTCGCCACGTAAGAAATCGATCTCAAGTGCCATCATCATGGCAAACACAGTTATTGAGAGTAAAACAATGATAACGGAAATTTTTCACGTTCCCTCAGTTGAGGAGAATCATAGTATTTTTCGTATTTAATTGTATGATTGAACTTCATCCAAATAACTCTGGAAGCGATCATTTCGTGAGACACAGGGCATCATGGCTATATTTTTGTTAACTTGAGTGTAACAAACATATTACACGTTTAATTGTTAAAATAATCGTAAATATTTTTTCCCCCATATTTTTCCCTCCACAGGGATTTCATTGATTTTCATTTGAAACAAATTAACAAAATATAGCCAAGGTAATTTACATTATAACATAAATAAAATTGGCTTCTCAAGATACAATTATTGTTGAACTGTTGAGTTAACAGAAAACTAACAAATCAATAATTCATTTCTGACACTCATGGAAAGAAAATACCGAAAAATTATCATTTTAAGTAAACAAATTCCTGAATTGAAACCATTTTCTTGTAAATTCATTATTTCTACAATTCGAATTTGCAATATACTTTTCGTTTTTAAAGTAATTTATAATCGAAATTTTAATAAGTATCAAAGTTGGGCAATTGTTTCTTTATTTTGCAAGTATACACCATCTGTCGCACCACAATCAGTATACAATTCAACGCATAATTATTTGAATATTTTAAACCAAATAATTTATCTTGTAATGAAAAAGTTAATTTATTTCCGGTTCCAGTATTAATCCAGTGCCCTAACCTAACCCAAATATGTTTAACATGCGTACAATCACATAGCAGATGTATAATCATTTCAATCTGTTCATTACAAAATGTACATTCTTTTCTTGGGACTAAATTCATTTTAACTTGAACAGTAGATAGTTCGTATATAATATGTGTTGCAAAACTTTAAACTGAAACCATCGTAAGCCCACATCAATGGTATCCATTATGTTTCCCAACTCTTATCATTCAGGTCGAAAATGCATTTCCATTTTAGAAAACTTTTACATAGTCCTTTTCAGTTTTTCTTCTCTTTAATAAAATTGCATAGATATGTGAACATCCTTTAATACGTTTCATAACAAATGCCATTGTATCTGGGAAAAGATGTTGTGACACCTTATTAAAAATAGTACAATTGTTAAACCCTTGTCTAATTGCATCGCATAATAATAACAATAAAAAAGAAAAATTATTTGAATATTATACTTTTCTTGGAAGTGTTCCAGAGAGAGAAAAAAAAAATCACCATTTGTGTCCGAAATATCATTGACAAAACGAACTCCCTTTTGACACAATTTTTTTATTATATATTGAGCTATTGCCTATTTTAATGTAATCATTATTCCATAAGGGTTGGCAAGAAATGTTATCATAATGCATGGACAAGAGCGTACTATAAGCCATGAACATTTCTTTCAAAAAAAGGTTCTTTGTTTTACCTGCCAGTTCCCGAAAATAATTGTTTCCCATATATAATTTTAAATCTTGCAGTTCAGGCAAGAAAGATTGCAAAAGACAGAGGATATATTGCTATCTATTGAGCCATTTACTAATATCTTAATCCAGGAAATTTGTAATGATTGGCAATGTGTGTGTATATTTATCATTTTAACCCCTCCGTCTGAGTAACTTTGTGACATTTGATTTTTACTTATTTTATCAGGTTCCCCCCATATAAATCTATAAAAGTGAGCATTTATATCTTTCAAAAGATTTTCACCAGGATTAGGGAGGGACAAAAAAGGGTAGTTTAATTTGGATACCAGCAATGACTTGACGACAGTGATTCTGCAAGAACAGTTAAGTATCGCCTTAACCACGATGTCATTTGACTTTTTATTTCTTTAAATTTTTCATTATAATTGCGAATTATCAATTTGGCAAATCCGTACAAAAGTCTATACCTATATATCTGAAATAATCATCAAACACCCAATTTAGATTTCTATTCAAAAGAACACCATCTTTCTTGTTTTTAAATCCTCCAATCCAAATCGCATGTGTCTTCTGTATAATACTTTTAGACCAGACATTGCATTATATTTATCTAAAATGTTTAATGCACTGTTTAATTCCATTACTGACCCGTTCAATGTTAGAAGAGTATCATCTGCATATTGAATTATTTTAAGTTGAATACCAGGTAAGCTCAAACCAGCAATGTATTTCGGCGCATAATAGAAAGATAAGAGCTGACATGGGATCCCCTTGACGACAACCTCGCTCTATTGAAAATCTTGGAGACAGGTGTCCATTGATTAATACACAGGATTGAGCATTGTCATAGAATACATTAACCCATTTTACAATAGAGGGACCAAACTTAAAAAAGTGCAATACTTTTCTAATAAAATCATGAGAAATAGAATCAAATGCTTTTTCAAAATCAATAAGCAGCAATAAACCAGGAATGTCATTGACATCCGTATACAATAATAAACCATATAACAAACGGATATTCTCTCCAATAGCGCCCTGACATAAAGCCTTTCTGATTTTCATGTATATATAAGAAAAGGAAGTACGTTCTTTAATCTGTTTGTTATACAAGCGGAACCTAATTTATACACCACGTTCAATAAAGATATGGGTCTCCAATTTTTCAAATAATGTCTATCTTTTTTTCCTTTGGGAATTAAAGAGATGACTCCTTTTCTGTGTATAGGACATTCCGGATGAATATGCAGAGTTCAAATATCTCACTAAAATATGTGTAATTCTTTCCAAAAATGTTTGAAATTCGACGGTGTATCCATTTAGACCAGGTGATTTATTAATCGTAAATATATCTAAATTAGGCACTATTATCATTTTGCTATTTTATGTTTATTATTACAATTGTTGCTATTATTATCATCTAAATATCAAATGTTTTTTTATCATCATCATTATCATTATGAGGCCTATTATTATAATTATTATTATGATTATAATCTTATTATTATCATCATCTTCATCATGTCATCTCATCTATACATAGTTATAACCGTCTGGCATCATGTACTGCACTCAATTATTGCTGCCCTTCTTAATTGAGAGGAACCTCCAAATTCTGCGAAACTTAATTTGCTGCAACTTCAGCCTCTAACTTTTACCGGGGGCGACCCTAAATATATATATATATAGGTCTATTTTGATTATTGGTGTCTTTCTGGTTTCTCTCCATAACTGACATGCTTGGGGCACAAAGTTTCTGAACAGAGGTCTCCAGAATAAGTAGGCCAACGTACAATCTCTTGAGAATACGGTTCATGTCTACTATACGTTGCACATGCATGACCGGACCAAACCACCGTCACTGAAACTAAAAGCGTATTCAGGATTTTACACTGATAGGGCAGTAGGCAGACGTGAAGGATCAACTAAGCAGGAACAAAATCCGCATCACCCCCACTCTTACATTCAGGTCCCACTAAACATTTTTCGAAGTGAGTTGGGGGGGGGGGGGGCTAAAGTATTTTCGATCAGGTAGATCGTGGCGTAAATTCGGGCGTGCCGATCTAGGGGCGGAGCCCCCGGAAGCTCGGGGGTATGGGCATTTAATAACGGTTAGGCAGGTCACTAATTGGCGTTTGGTCCATGCAGATAAGCATTCAGGCGCCCGCCTTAGGGCCTCTGGTGGGGTCGAGGGGCAGAGTCCCCGGAAGCGCAGGCGTTTTAGGCATATTTTTGATACCTTGTTCGTTACACTGCCGGTCACTAATTGGCGGGGGTCCATGGGGGCGGAAGCTCGGGGGTTTTAGGCATTAAATTACGGTCAGATGAGCATCCAGGGGCCCGCCTTAGGAACCCTGGTTGGGTCCAGGAGGCAGAGCCCCCGGAAGCTCAGGGGATTTAGGCATTTAATTACGGTTTGATGAGCATTATTGATACCTTATTTGTGACACTA